ATTTCTTGACGAGATCTTGGACCTTAGGAATTCTTGTGGAGCCACCGACCAGGACGATTTCTTGGATATCGCTCTTTTTCAAGTCGGAATCTTCCAAAACTTTCTTCACAGGTTCCAGCGTGGATTTGAAAAGTTTCTAAAGAAAGATGCAAACGTTTCTTTTGAACACGAGGAAACTTGATGCTCAGAGTTTACACTTGTACAAAGAGCCATTGCAGTTTATTTTGCATTTGAGCACTCGAAAATATCAGTTCCACTAATCTTCCACACAATTCTTGCATTGTCCAAAATAATTGCGGGACAAGCTACAAGAGGTGGATTTGTACGGTTCCGAGTGCAGTTTTGGAAAAACATACACAAGACGATCAAAATCGCACGAATCCGAAGGACGAGTGCAATTTGAAGTCTTTGAAAAACTCACGAGTGCATGTTTTTCCAAATTCCACGAGAAACCGTACTATTATTTATTAATAATATACATAAAAAAATTATGCGGTCATGTCCATGTGTAGGATTAAAAAATCTACTAAAAACGCCTGCCATATTTTGTCACTCGTAAATATTTGGGTTTTTTGTATTATTTTCACTTTTTGCACTGTATTTCACTTTTTGGTACTGATTTAGAAAAAATTGCACTGCTCTTAGCCAATCAGAATTGAAAAATTTTTCATGTATATTATTAGACATAAAACATCGCAGCGTGCAATGTACTTTTGTGCAACAAGTTACATGCAAAACTGCACCTAGGGGCTGAAAATGTTAGTGCAAAATATGCAGTCTTCAAAAATGTTATCGTGATTTCTGCGATAGAAAGTTGTAGAATTTTGGTCTTGAGGTGTTGCAAAAATATATCAAGATTGTTTACAAAAAGTGTTATGGGATTTTTATAAACGGAACAATATTTTCATTATCTTGTTAAATCATTCCAGGAATAATGTTCCACCTACCATGTTGATTTCTTCAAATTTGGCTCTTGTGAGTGTTTCAGAGAAGTCTTCACCTTCGAAGAATGATTCGATTTCAACTCTTGCTTGATGCTGAGCACTCAGTGATCTCTTGGCTTTCTCTACTTCACGACGGAGTTTCTGCAATGCACGGTTGTCCTTGCGGATATCCTTGCCCTTCTTCTTCTTGTACAGTTTGATGAAATATTCCATGACATTTTGATCAAAATCTTCACCACCTAGTATTAAAGAAAGAATAAATTGGTTAGGCAAGGTCAACAAGACAGTCGCGTGGGTGGGGGGCCCCATGAAATCATCTTGTGGGAAAAATGAAGGATGTTTCAAAACATGAATTGGATAGGAAGTGCATAAACATCAAGGAAAAATTAAATGAATAACGGTACATTAATGCAAAAGAGAATGACAAATATAATGTCAGGAAAATTTATTACGTTGTGCCGCCAACCAAATACAATATCACCCCCCTGCTTAAGCCCCCTCGCGACAACCCTGAAGGTCAATGCATAAAAGGTGTGAAATTTAAATTTTATCACAAAATCGTAACTGCTACAGAAAACCAGAACAAATTACAGTAAATCACAACTGACAGACCGACTATGTACAGAAGTGGGACACTCTTTGTATTTTGACTGTAATGGTATTGAATCCAAACATGAGAATGTAATCTCATCATTAGACTGGCAGCCACATTGCAGAAAGGTTAGTATGGCCTATTTTGAAAGTGAAATTTAAACTCAGACTTTGTTACAATTTCAACTGAATTCCTACGGTTCAATGTATTAACACAATGAGTCACATTGCACCCCAATGCGCTCTACTTTATTATTTTACTTTTTCTGACACCAGACAGTTTTACTCTCCCAAGGAAAGAGCACGCCTGGCACTCAATGGGTTAAAATGTACTCTAACAGGGCACTCCATATATACAAATGCAGATAAAAAATAACTACCATATATACAAATGCAGATAAAAACAAAACAATTCTACATACCAAGATGGGTGTCACCATTGGTAGCCACCACTTCGAACACACCATTATCAATGGTCAAAAGAGAAACATCAAAAGTACCACCACCAAGATCAAAGACGAGAATATTCTTCTCTCCCTCTTTCTTTTCCAAACCGTAAGCAATGGCCGCAGCAGTTGGTTCATTGATGATTCTCATCACAGTCAATCCAGCAATGGCACCAGCATCTTTGGTAGCCTGTCTCTGGGCATCATTGAAGTATGCTGGTACTGTCACAACAGCATGTGTTACTTTCTTTCCCAAGTAAGCTTCAGCAGTTTCCTATGGCAAAAAAGTGATTCAGGCACATATGACGACAGTGACGATTTTCAAGTAAGAACCTTTATTTAATGTTCTGAAATTCCCTGTCCTGCATTCTAATGTGAATTTCAACATTTTAGAGCCAGTTGTTCAAAGCTGGATTAGAGCTAACCCCAGGTTAAAATTTAAGCTGCTGTGGTGTTTATATATCTTCCGAGAGAAGACAACTCCAACTGATCCAGACAAGATTTCCGATGAAATATTTATAAGTTTATGAACAAGCTGTTGAGAAGCTTGCTTTGAATTTTAGGTGAACCTTGGGTTGAGCTGATCGGTTTTTGAACAATCAGTCCTGGAAGAAATGTTGCTAATATGTGCCTCTCAACCCCCCTGGATATGATGACTATACTTCAATTGGTATTAATTAATGGACTTTTTTCTTCACACTTTGTGGGCCATATCTAGAAGTGGGCCATATCAAGAAGGGTGTCAATCCTGGGGGGATGTACATCCCCCTCACTTTTCGGACATTTGTAATATAATCTATAATAAGTTTTTTCTGTTGGATGGGTTCACTCCACCCCCCTCTTTTCGGAATGGATTTTTGCCTTGCATACCTCTAAGCAACCTTATTTTTCAAAAATTTTCTGACAAGCTTAAAACTTCCCAAATGGATCCTGTCTGAGGCATTCTCTGCAACAGTTGTACATAGACAAGCTCCACTCTTCACCCTCCTGCTAAATGAAGCATGGGCAGATTTACTGGGGGGGGGGGGTTAACACCTCCTAGAATCTTTCTAACCCCTCTTATAAAGTGTTCATCCCCACCAAAATTTCACTTCACCCCTCCTATTTTGTGTGAAAGTCTTTAACCGTAACGTCTAACCCCTGCTGAAGCTCGCTCAGTGATGCCGTTTGCACCCCACTAGAAATTTTTCCACCCCACCTTTTAAAAAAATGAAAATCCGCCCTTGAAATGAAGCGGGATCCCTGTCAATGTTACCTTCATTTTCACCAGCACCATGGCACTGATTTCCTCAGCAGCAAATTCCTTTGACTCTCCTTTCACATTCAATTGAACATGAGGCTTATCGTTCTTCTTCACCAACTTGAAGGGGAAAAACTTCAAGTCATGTTGGACCGAAGGGTCGTCCCAGTTTCGACCAATCAGACGCTTGGCATCGAACACGGTATTTTCTGGATTCGAAGTCAGCTGGTTCTTTGCACCATCACCAATCAAACGTTCTCCCTCTGGGGTGAAAGCAACATACGATGGCGTGATTCGGTTACCTTGGTCATTGGCAATGATTTCTACTCGACCATTTTTGAAAACACCAACACTAGAACAAAGACGTATTTTGGTTAGCTTTTTGAATGAGAGAAGATCAAGATATTTATTTCAAAGTCTTTATTTTCAAGATATTTCGTCTTTACCTGAAAGAATTTGATAATTCGTACTTATTTCAAAGCTAAGTTAGCGTTTTTGACTTTCAACAGGGCATTTAAATCGATTTTGACAGCTGCTATTGGTCCACGAAAGGGTCAGAAATCAGAGCAGAAAAAGTACTATCTTTTTACAAATTTACCTAACAAACAATTCTAGTATATAATACAGGTAGTGCCTAATTTAACGATCTATGATTTTCAGCAATAAATTTGGTTATAATAGCTCAGTTAGAAAGCTTTTTAGGAAAGAAGTCTTACCATGAATAAGTCGTTCCCAAATCGATTCCAATAACAGTTCCTACAGCGTTTTTGTCCTTATCGTCCTTTTTCTCTTCACAATTTACAAATAAAAGGTTTCCGGCAAAAGCCAGAACTACTATCCCAACAACCGTCTTCATTTTAACAAAATTATACAAAACCTAAACCAGAATTTCTTTCTCAAAACCAACACAAAAGGTAAAGTCTTCGAATTCATGCACTCGCGACAATGTGCTTCGCGTTTATATGGTACTCAAATGGCGTGTATATTTGTGATTGGCTGAAATCATTCCCGTGGCTCGCTCTGATTGGTCACTGCTCGATGATTGCGCAAGCATGGAATGCTGACGAATGCACACCGCATACTGTCGTGGCTTTTCGTACGGCTTCCAGCGCACGTCCGGCTCACAGTGTCCGGGTTTCCAGGGCTTTTCCAAATATGCAACTGTTCTTTAATTATGACCCTAAATGCAGGCTTTTAACATATTTTGCTAATATTTCTATTACTGTATACTATATATATATATTATATCTTTATACTATCAATTCGTTCGACAGATATCAAAACTTCCAAATAGAATACTGTAATGAAAATGTTCCATCTTCAAACACGTGACAATTTGCTTTTGCCAGCTTGTTTCACAAGTACGTGTATTTTATAGCTTTATATGTACACTATAAAATATTGTCGCCGGTACGCATTAACCCACGTTTTCTATATATTCTCTCTGACCTCTATGGTATCCTTAATAGTATATGGTACCACCACAAGAGGCCCAGGCTCTATTTGCCTACACAGGCACACCACCACAATCCAGAAGACACCAGTATTGTCTTCTGGACTACCTATGGTAATCTATCTTGCCAGTTTGTCTTGTCATTAATATGTATTATCATAACTGAATTGTTTACATGTTGATGCTTATTCGATTTAGCAACATTACAATGGCAGGGAACCTACAACATGGGCAAATCCCACAAAACAAGGCTTTCGACATGTTGCAATTTGTGACCCCAAAACATGAACTAGGTCATAGCAGCAATATGATAGTAAGCACATAAGACTACAGAAGCACACAATTGGTGATTTCAATTTTTATTGATTAATTTGTTACGTGGTCATTTTAACAAAGTGTTACATAAGAAGTATTTTCTTGCTTCTGAGATGTTGAATAGGCAGGAACTTTCAAGGCCCTAGGATCTCCTATCAAGAAAAAAAAACAAGTTAGGCCATTACCCTTGCACATACATGTTGTTGCATTGAAAATTCAACATTTGCCTCAGAGATCTTGGTGGTTACTCATCATCTTGTGACATCAAGAGTAGCAAATATAGATTGCATCATAGGCAAATAAATGAACATGCGAATGTACTATCTAAAATTATACCATACCTTATAATATACTTAATGCAACTTCCTCCATTGATAACTTCCTCCATTTCTTAAGATGTATAATAGAAAACAAGATTGTTACAAACTTTACTCTAAGTACTTTTTAATAAAACAAAAGTTATTCCGAATAAGGAGTGCATAATATTAACACACAATTTATTAAAACTGTATATTTCGAATCTAAATCAGATTCATCTTCAGCAGTGTTTTGCAAGATATCTTGCAAAACACTGCTGAAGATGAATCTGATTTAGATTCGAAATATACAGTTTTAATAAATTGTGTGTTAATATTATGCACTCCTTATTCGGAATAACTTTTGTTTTATTTTTGCTGAAATTATCAGCCGGAAAAGGATTGAAATCGTCATGTTCAGTGTATGTACTACAAAAGACTACATACAATTGAAAAATGTTTTCACTGAAACGAAAATTCCAGTTGAATGCATAGTAAATTTCACGCCGCATGAATGTTCAAACATCATGAAAATTTTCGGATATACATTAATTTGAGCACGTACATTTCAATTCCTCTAGTCCATTTTAGACGTTATGGAGATGAAAAATCGATAACGTGAACTCAAATCGGAGAATTAGTGCATACCGTTTCAATCTGGAATTACGTCACGAAAATGGTACTTTGACCAGGAGCCCGCTAGCTCTCGTGATTCAAGACGACAGGCTATTCGCCTCACAATTCATGAGAACGAGACTCGCGCTGCTGGTGGGTTTAGACGCACTACCAAAAAGCAGTGGAAAAGTATCGACCACGCGACCATTGGTCCCAGAAAGTTTTGAGTTTCTCAGAAAATATTTTCCCAAGAAAGAAAAAGATAATTGTAAAAATACCTAGATAAAGGAGAAGTTCAAAGGAAAAATTCTAACCAATAGAAAGAAGAATGTTACCTATACTGTGGTATAAGTGAATCAGAAATTAATGCAATTATCAAGTGAATATTAATCCTTCTTAATAATGCATTGGTGTATAAATGTACATTGAATGACGTAATACATTTTTAGCCAATCTAAGACACCTGATTTTCAAAATTGTCTGGTGGAGCATGTAAGCATGGACCCCCCTAGTATGCGCCCCTCTCAGTAGTGCCATTTTTGGCATCTGTAAATTTACCTTAGGATATTAGATATGATGCATGTTATCTAAATAACTAAATTAGTTTTTTAAAACATATTATTCCTAAAAGCGTTGTTAAGATTCTCAGTGCACTGAAATTAAAATTTTTGTCTGTTAAAATATAGCATGATATTCAGTTTGACAACTTGTTAGTGACACACAGTTAAAGCGTCCGAGTGTCGATTTACTTGATTATTTGCAAAGAATTTTCAATGTCCTCTTGCGGTCCCAGAAAGTAAAATATTTTTCCACCCCTGACCAAAGGGTTATTATTCTTTAATCGTTTTCAGTATACATCACATTTCAAGATGCTTAGCCAAAGAATGGTACGGAGTTTGTGGTTCCTGGGGTTTCTCGTGTTGTTTGTCGTATGCGTCAAGCAATTCTCTCCGCTACAAAGGTTCAGCGAATGGAATGATGGTGCAAGGTCTCGGTTGAGAAGACAGACAATATCACAAACATGCACAGACGAAGCGACTGACCCCAAAGCTTGCGAAAATATCCCAGAATATAACTCTGCCAATACAATCACCACCACCACCAACCCCACCACCACAAAACTGACCACCACCACCAACCCCACCACCACAAAACTGACCACCACCACCAACCCCACCACCACAAAACTGACCACCACCACCAACCCCACCACCACAAAAACCGCCCCAAAAACCACTGCAGCCTCTCCCAAGGTTAAACCCAGAAACTCCATGCAGTTGTGCTTGGCCAGCGTCGTAATCGTTTTAAACTTTTTACTGTAAGCACAAAAGAGCGTTTTAAATGTAACGAAACGTAACCTCAGAGGGTTTTAAATGAGGAAAAAGATTAAGAGTGACTTTATATCTGATAAAAAACACATCTTCATTAGTATTCTTTATATAATTGTTCATCCTAATTAGTATGATTATATAATTGTTCATCCTAATTAGTATGATTATATATAATTGTTCATCCTAATTTAGTATTCTTTTGTAGTCGTGTTTTAAGCTATTCAAAACACTCGTTGTGGCGTGTTTTATCAGATATAAAACGCTCGGCTGCGCCTCGCGTTTTATATCTGATAAAACACTCATACTCGTGTTTTAAATAGTATTTAGCATAATATTGCTGTTAAATGGACATAATTATGGGCGCTATAATAATAATTCATTTGGTTCAGTGACGTGGCCAGAGGGGGGGCGGGCCATTGAGCCCACCTTGGAAAAATACTGACCGGAACAAGCATGCGCATTAGCCTCCTCCGCAGGCAAATAAACTTTATTCGAATTAGTGCGGTGTAAAACTGCTTGGGCCCCTTGGTTAGAAATCATGGCTACGTCACTGATTTGGTTGACTCAAATTATAACTTTGGAATGAATGTATAATTATCTTTAGAATAATAGGACATTCTTATTGTGGCTACAGACCGCAGTGCTAAGTTATTGTGAATAAGCGAGATTGACTACATGTTTGTGATTTTTCTGAGAGCGATTTGCGTGAGTTGGCATGAACCGTGAGTTCATTGAAACCGCAGCGAAGTGGCAGCAGAATATGAGAGAAAATACCCCGGGTACAAGCCCACTCGTGGCATCTAGCCGCATATTTTAAAACCTATCTTCAGCTGATAAAATTTTCATTGAGATCAAAACTACATTTAGGGTGCTTTTACTCAGCTGTGCAATGCCTTTTAACCCTTATGTCGGTGACATGGCTAAGTCATGCCGGCAGAAAAGCCTCCTAGGTGTGCAGAGCCAAAACCAAATCTTGTCTTGATTGTTAACGGTAAAATTAATCTTAATCTTGAGAGTATATATAAAAACATTTTGAATAAGAATATTTTGAAATTGAATGAAAAAATGGTGCTCCCCTAGACTCGGATTCCAGCCATTAGGGTTCTCAGCATCCGTG